TACCTGAAAAAATACAAAGATGTGGTGTATAACATGGTGTCAGAAAAAAATTTTTTTAGTCATTTTTCCTGTCTGTGGGTGAGGGAAGGGGTTTCAGAGGGAAACAGCATTCCGGCTGAGAAGCACTGTGATTTTCTGACCGGCGTGCTGTAACAGCCAGGCTGGCTGAAAGCTCTTCCCGGAGGAGTTAGCAGAATGGCTCCTGTAGGCAGGAGAGCGAGGGACTCTGAGCGGTGGTGGAGGACACTGGCTCTGGCATCTCACGTTCACCTGGCTCATGCTACTTCATTAACTAGTCGCAGGCTATCAAGATTTTGAGGATTTGGTTCAGGACCTTCTCACCAGCTGAGCTGTGGCGTGCACGCAGGTCTGAGCTGCGGTATGTATGTGTGTCTGTAGCGCCCTGATTGTGAAGGGTGCTTAGTCCCTTATACGATGTAATCTGCTGTAGCTTGCAGCAAATTACCAATTAGGGTCTGGCAATCGGAATGTTTCAGCAATTACTTTTTCTCCTCTGTGTAGCACAAGAATGGGGGAAAAGATTCTGTTCGCAAGGTAGATTAATTCACTCTTCTGCAACTATCCAGGTGTGGTGAATTTGTTATAATCTGAATTCTGTTTTCAGTCTGCAGCACTGAATTTCCAGTTTGTGACAAATTTGTGGCCGTTGCATCTCATTTGAAATATTTGTCAAGGCTGCACAGAAAACATCTGTTTCTCAAGGCGTGGATGAGTAACCTAGGTGCAGGGTGTCCTTCCTGGCCCTACGCTCCCCCAGCCAGCCCCTGGGAATAGTTACCTTGGGAAGCGCTGCACTAAATGAACCGCTGGAATTGGATGTGTGCACGGGGGAAAGCATCTTAACTGAAATCACACGCGTGGCTAGCTGAATTTGTGTAATCCTGGCAATAATAATGTTTTACGCTTGTGTAAATGGAAGGAATGATTAGAGAGCCTAAGCAACTACTTAATGTGTAACTTAGTTTGGAAATTAAGAGACTTTAAAAGCCAAACCTTGCTCTTTTCAAGCCTGCTGTTTGCTTTTGTTTCTTACGGCCTATCTCTGAACTTCATTGTGTGTCTGTCTCTTGTTCCTGAAGTGAACCAGAAATGCAACATACTGTGTTGCAAGGTTAAGGAAACGTCCTGACGTCCTCTTGTTTCCAGTCACGCTGTACCTTGGATCTGCAGTCATGCAAAAGGAAAGAAATGCTCTGAATGGATTCTCCTTTGACGCTTGTCCTTAAACCAGGGTTTGTTTTGAGCTAGCTAATCTTTGTTTGCAAAAATGACTTTGAATAGGAACGGTTCCTGCTTTTAACTTTTATGAGCACTGTTATAGCATAAAGTTAATAAAGATTTCAGAATTTAATATGCAACCCCCAAAAAAACCCCTAATAAGCAAATATTAGCTTTGGAATGCTTATTGTTTTCTTCTTAATGAACGCTGATGTTTCACATCTAGTGAAGCAAGTAAATATGAAGTTTTCCTCTTTGCAATTAGTAGAAACAGTTCCCAGTGCAATGTTAATAACTAAAATTGCTGTTAGAAGGTGAGGCTGGTCAAAGAGCCAGTCATGACTTCTGCCACAGGAGTAGAATATATGTGGTGTTCCCGAGCTACTCCTAGAACAGGGATCGGGAGGGATCCTGATGCTCTCCCTTACAGCAAGATCAGATCTGCTCAGACACTTCTTCCTAGACTGCAGCACCCAAGGTTTTGTGGACGCCCAGGTCACTGGTTAGTTACAGGGAGGAACTGTTGCTCTAGCGATCCGCATGCATCAGAAATGGCGGTTTATTTGCACTTTAAGGTAAAGGTGGAGAAGCAAATGCCACGTACGTGAACTGTGGGGATGAAGCCAAGGTGGCATTCACACAGCATGCGAGGAAACTGTTTCTCAAGTTCTGTCCCAGGCCAAAGACCCGTAGAAGGCAGCAGGGGAAGCAGAAATGGCCCCGCTTTGCCAGTACAGTGTCCATCTAAGCCTTCCTTGTTCTGAACGCTGCCGTGGTGATGCTGTCTCTTAGGAATAAGAATTTTTCTTCATGTTTGTCCTATGCTTTATGTTGTGTATGTTATATATATCCTCTTGAATTTTTAAATAATCTAAACTTGGAGGGGTTTTGCCCCCTCCCCACTTCTGTGACTGGTTAGAATAGAATATTTCAGTTGGAAGGGACCTCATCTAGTCCAACTGCCTTCTAGTGCTTGAAGCTTTTCTCATAATTCCAATTCTTGCAATTGCAGCATTCATAAACTTTTATTTTTAATGTAAATGGGACAGATATGAAGCATATTCATTTTTTCTCCTCTCTGCTTGCTCAGGCTGGGCAATCAGGTTAGTTTGCATCCTGTCACGAGGGATCAGATCTTCTGTTGCAATGGGACAGCCATGGAGTCTGGGTGCTGAAAACCAGAGGTTTTGTAGTGTGCTCAGTGTTGGCTTTGCTTTTAAGGGTTATTTCATGTTTGCTTTTTGTCTTCTGTCCTTAGATCAGGGAGACAATCTGTGTGAGCCCCAACATGCTCTAGCAAGACTCATGCTGAGAAAAATAACCAGTGAGATGAAGCCCTGAATTTTTCAGTTCCAATATACTTGTTTGCAACTTCCTGTCCAATTCTGGTAACGCAGACTGTGGATTTTCAGTTCCGTTACTGCCATATATTCAAAAGGTATTTTTTGATTATTATTTTCAGTGGTCTGTTCTGAGTAGTAGGCTTGCATACGCAGGGATTTTCTGCGTTATTTCCCGCTCTATGAACAGCTCTGGAAAACGGCTCTGTCACTGAAACTTTAAATTAAATTTTATTTCTTTTTCTACTCACTCCTGAGAGTAGTCCATCTTTCTGGTGATTTCATACACCTTTAAAAACAATTTTTTTTAAAATTTATTTTAAACATTTGCTTTGAACTTGATTTGAACACATTGTATTTGCCACTGGACCAAAACAAGCTAAAGGTTAAAAATCAAGCTTTTCCTGATGTAATCTCTACAATTTCTAAGCGTATTGTTATAGACCACGTGTCTGTTCCTTTGCGGGGTACCACATTTTAGGTTCTCTGGGTGACTGTAAGACAACATTTCTGTTCTGCATGAACGTGATGTATAGCGTTTTGGCTATAGGTCTCCAGGCAGCAAGTGCACACTTCTCATCCCTCCCATCTCCCAAAATACTCGAATGTTTGTGCTGGTGCTGGACTGCAGGCAAACTGAAATTGCCTACGACTAAGAAAGCGGTATTGATTCTCATGGAAAGATGTAGTGCTTTGCTAAAAGGTATGAGCAAAGATAATTTATCCAGGTTTTCCATTTGGTCACGAGGCCAATATACTGGTGCTCCTGTTGCTCAAAATATGATTATTTTTAGTTGCACTACTGGGGGGAAAAATAGGTAGCTCATTGTAAAATAGTCCTGTGGGCATTAAATAGAATTAAATCTGAAATTAAGAGCGTAATGGCTATACTTAGGGTTTGTCTTCTTCCACATGCTCTTTCCCATATAGCTGAAAGTGGATGCTTAGGAAAGAATATAAAACAAAACAGTACCTGTGATACCTCCCCCAGCTTCTAAATATTTGAGGCTTACAGAATTCCTAAGCCAGATACGTATAAAAACCCTTAATGGATTTCTTGCCTGTTTGAGCTTATCAGACCTGCTCCTTTAATATTTTTTCGACTTAAGATGGTGAAGGTGAGTAGTTCAAACTGTCAGATAACCAGCTGGTTTTATTGGGTAGCCTGGGTTCAGGTCTTTTATTGAATTCTCTGGTGCAGTAATTAATGATGTTTTCCTGTGGACGAAATGACTTACTTCATAAGCTGTGGGTATCTTACTGTCCCAGTCTTATTCTGGAGAAGCCAGGAAAAATGTCTTTATTTTCTCTCACATAAAAATCTTGGATAATATAGCTTTAAACTGTAGGAAAAAAATCTGTCTTGCATTCAAGCCTTTCACTTCTGAGCACACTGTTGTGAACCACATGCTTTGTATTTAGCCTGAGATTAAAAAAGAAAAAAAAAAAAAGAGGGTAGGCTGCTTCTGCTCCATCTTTCCTAGAAATTTGGTTTGTGCTTTATTTTAATGTATTATCTTAACCTTTTCTTAGGGCTTTTTATATTGAATTTTTTACATTTTGTAAATCAAATTGCAAGTTTAAGTTGACCAATTCTGACATCTGTGATTCTGTTTGCACTTGGTAAACAGCCTAGTCGTACGTCTTGCAGTCAAGTCAAAATATATTTTGACGAGAAGTATCTGCATTGGCTTATTTTACTGCATAGTGTACTCTGGCTTAGTCTTCTGAACTGTGACTACTTAAGCCTCACTCTCTCGTTCCCCACACAAAAATAACTTTCTTTAGATTGTCTTAGCTGTAAAGCCTGTTCTGGTCTCTTCTCTTGTTACTGGTTTGTTGCTAATAGTTAAAGCCCTCGCACTGAAAGTGCTTCAGTCGGTGTCCCAAGAGCACTTCCCTTAAGACCACGTTGCTTACAGCTAGCCTCAATCCTTCTTTTCTAATTGGCATTTTGGCATCTCCTTGGAGTACTGCTTAATTCTTTTACTGCTAAGCTCCTTTTCTTCCTTCCTTTCAGACGGTTTGGTTCCTAGCTCTGTCCCTGACTGTTCTCTCTGACCAGCAGCTCACGGCAGTGGTGCCTGATGTCTGTTCGGCTGGTGTTCAGCCTCCGCTTATGTTTTCTGCCCTGCCTTCCCTGAGGCAAAACCCAATAATTTGATGAAATTGCCTGTGGGCTCATAACAAGTGCTTGTTGTGTGGTGTCTCTTTGTCCCTTCTGAGGAGGTACAATGCTGGAAGTCTTTCTAAAACAAGGTGGTAACGTTTGTTTTGCTTTTATTTATTTTTCTCATGACAAATTTTCTTTCTTTCCAACTTATAGCTGGATACAGTGCCTTTGCTGAAGCGTTGCACATGCTGGAGTTGCCTGAGCCCCTGATGTATCCCGGAATGGCAACTAGGTGACGATAGTTGAGGATGACCCTGACTGAAAAACTGCGCGAGAGGATATCGCGGGCGTTCTACAACCACGGGCTGTTGTGTGCTTCCTACCCCATCCCCATCATCCTCTTTACTGGACTCTGTATTCTGGCCTGCTGGTAAGTCACACGAAGTACTTGGTGTCACAGGGTGCTGCTGCTTTGTGGGGTTTTCATAGCAACACCATGAACGTGTTCAGGTTTCCCTGTCTTGTGGGCTGTCCCAGAGCTCTGTTTGGTTTTTTTTTTTCTTTCTTTTAAAGTAATAGTTTTTTGTCATCTTTTTTATGGACAAAAGACAGGGATGAAGTATCTTCATGTGGTTTAATAAGCAAATAGTAAAATCTAATTGCATAAGTGAAGTAAAGCAATAAATAAAAGTAATCTCCAAACACTTGGTGGTGGACTCCAAACCCATGAATTAAAAATGGGGAGAAGGAAAGTTGATCTTTCTCTCTGTACTTGTCTGTTCTGTTCTCCCTGAAGCTTGTACTCTTCTTTTCAGCCCTTACCTTGGTATGCATGTGTTGTTTGTTCTTGTAAATTCCCTAGTACCCTTATGGACTCTAATTTGGATATGACTTGCAGCTGAATATATTTCCATGATCAGAAATGTTACACGGGCCTCTTCATAATTTTCTGTGAGGTGTTATTACTGCTGGAGTTGAGAAAACTTTTGTGCTCAGGTTTGTGCACAGATTCCGTCATCAAGGTTTTAATTCTAAATATCTTGTCTCTTTTGGTCGAAATAAACCCTATGTGATGATGGACTCTACTCCTCTGCTTTTAGAAAAGCTCAACCTGTGTTGATATAGATACAGACATACATTTTTCTTTGAGCATCACTGAGGATAAGACAGACTTCTTTCATGTCTACAGTTAAAAGATTATTGAAGTGATTATTTTCATGTATTGAAAACCTGTGAGATCACTTCTCATGCCTATGGCTTGTGAAGGTTGTGAGCAGCAGTCAAGGCGTTGCTTTCCTGGTTTTTGTGCTGCTTCATATGAATTCTTGTAAATGAATTCTTGTAAATGTCAATGAGAATAGTTTTATTTTCAGGTCTTTTGTTCTGTAGAAATATGAAGCTTCTATGAGGTCCAAACAAATGGATTCTACATTCTGTTTTTCTTGGTTGATAACCGTTGCAAGTAACAGCTCTGTCTTCTGACTTCAGCTTTGCTGGATGCTGCTCTCACGTGTCAGGCCTGCCTTAGCCAAAACAGTTCCACCACAAGTCCTGAATCCCCACACCACAGCGCTCTTGCTTGCTAATTGCTTCACATACCGCCAGTGGTATTGGGCTCCTATTTTCGATTATCTTTCAGGTGCTGTTCCCTGGGGGTGAATGCAGGAATGCAAGACAACTGCTTCAGTAAAAAAGTTTATCCATACAAATGTTGCATTTTGGGAGGGACCAAAATAAAAACTGCATGCTTACTCCCTTTCCTAAATTTAGGATTTCCTGGACAGGAGGAAATCTGATCTAGGATTACTAGCAGCTGTCCTCGTTCTTCCTGGGAACCTTGTGCCCACTGGGTCAGAACTTATATCTGTCCTGTCTTTGTAGCTGTATGTTTAGAGTGGTGTGAACCAAGTCCCTGAAGCTTCAAACCAGGTTGTCTTTGGCAGGTTAGCTACTGGTAATTGTGTATTTGTGGAAGTGTCTGCATTACTCAGTGCTGGTATTTGAGGATTCTGCAGTTATTGGTTACCTTCAGGCTGCAGAAATTTGTCCAACACTCCATCAGGCATAAAGTGAATAGTCTGTGTTTTCTTTAATGAGTTTCAGTAACTCATTAGACAAGCAAATAATGGCCCTAGGAGAGACAGGGTTTTAAAAATATTGTGATGCCCTTTCAGAGCAAGAGTACCTTTGCAAAAAATTTTCCTCTTCAGAAGCAATTTTTGGGGATGTTTCAGTTCCTGTTCTTGAGCTGCTCTCTGTTAACTAGTGTTAACTAGGTGTTAAGTCTGGCTTGAGAAGTGGCATTACTAACTAGGTCAAAACTATTCCAGAGTGCAGTCCTTCCACACTTGAGCATTTCAGTGTGGTAAGACTGAACTCTGATAGGATATCCATGCATGGGACACTTTGAAATATTTATTGGAAGTTTGGTTTTGCGTTGAGGTCTTCAGGTCTTCCTCTTAGTTTGAGCCTGAGGTCCCGCTTCTTCATTGTCGACCTGGGTGATGGAGTAGGCCGCACCCTCGGCAAGTTTGCAGGTGGTACAAACTTCGTATATCATGAACTGGAAGTGGAGAACTGAATGAAGTGGCTGGATGAAAACTGGAAAGAGAACCAGATGGCTGCGTGGGCAGAGAGGAACCTCATCAAGTTGAACAAAAGGAAATGTAAAAGAAAGAATAACATCAGGCATCTGTACAGAGTGAGGGTCAGCTTTCTGGAAAGCAGCTTTGCAGAACAGGCCCCAGAGATCCTGGTAGGTCTCTCAGGGAGAGTGTTGCCAGCAGGTCGAGGTGATCCTGCCCTTCTGCTCAGCGCTGGTGAGGCCGCACCTGGAGTGCTGGGTCTGGTGCTGCGCTTCCCAGTAAAAGAAGGATGTGGAATTAGTGGACCAAGTCCAGCAAAGGACCACGAAGATGATGAAGGGCCTGGAGCATCTCTCCTAGGAGGAAAGGCTGAGAGCTTGGTCTGTTCAGCCTGGAGAAGGCTCAGGGGCATCTCATCAATGTATGTAAATGTATGAAGAGAGAACAGCACCAACCTGTGACAAGGCATGAGGCAAAGGGCACCAACTGAAACACAGGAGATCTGTTTATACGTAAGAAAACACTTTTTACGCTAAGGTGGTTAACCATTGGAGCAGGTATCCCAGAGAGGTGGGGGAGGCCCTGAGCCATCTGCCGTGGCTGGCCCTGCTCCCTGCAGGTTTGGACCAGCCCATCTCCAGAGCTGCCTTCCAGCCTAAGCTGTCTGTCATTCTGTCTCTGTGCTTTTTAATCTGCCTGTGGAGTTTATAAAGGAGCCGTGCAATGCAAAATGATTTAGGATAAATGTTTTTTAAGCTCCCTTTTCAGTTTCTCCAGTGTAAGAGTTGTGTTGATTTATTGAGGTGTTAAGAGTCGTCCCTGCCCCCCCCATGCTTCCTTCCTTCTGCCTTCTGTTTTTCTCCAAGCTGAAAAAGGAAGTGGTGCTAAAGGGAACACACATCCTTGCTGTCAAGTGATTTTGAGAGTAACTCCTGGGTTTTTTGGGCTACGTAGCTTTGCAGTTGCAGTCCACATGTTGTTCATTCATTTAAAATAAGAAATAAAACTTAATATATCCACTTACAATGAAGCTGCATTACCAAGTATATTGTATTTCAGGTTCCTTGGCTTGGACTATAATTTGGGTATTTTCTTGCCAGAGCTCAAATTTGGGGGCTGCTCTCTCCAGTGAGCACTCGATAAATATCCTTAGAAGTCCGAGGTGTCTCTTCCTTGTTTGCTCTGCGTGGAATAATGTGGTATTTGTGGTGTGTGGCTGCACGCAGTTGTTAGCTCTGTGGCTTGTGCAACTGTAGCTGTTGAACACTAATTCCTTAACAAATGGATAGGGACTATGACCAAGTAAACCTGGAGCAAGATACTCAGTAGCTTTTCGGATTGTGCTGCACTAGAATACTTCTAAACAAGTGTTTTCATCAGATGTAGTAAAAATTTAGGGTTTTTTGGGGGGAGGCAGGGTGCCAAGGCCAACGAAAGGACTATAATTTCTTTTTTTAATCAGGATGCCTGAATATATAAGATGGTATGGAGTAACAGGAAATTGGAGGTGATCAATAGTCATCTCAGTGGGTGCTGACTATCTATGGGATGGGGCAGGAAACTTCAAAAGTACTGTAGCAATTATTTGGGAAATAATTATTTTTTAGCTAATACAGTAACTCACTTTAGATTGAAGTTAAGTCCTGGAGCTATGTCATGCGGTGGGCATTTCATGCATTACCTGCTCGCCCTATTCTTCTGCTCTTTCCTAGGCATCTGCTACTGGCTGCTGTAAGAAATAGGCTGCTGGGCAGATGGACCCTTGGTCTGACCCAGCACAGCTAGCTGTATGTATATTTGTTTTTGACTACGTCCATTTGAATAGCCTTCCAGAATGTAAAACTGGCAGCTGTCGGGCACGTTTGGCACGTGGTGTGGGTCGGGTGCTGTCTGCAGGAGCCGCAGCAGACAGTTCTTACGGGAGCTGTCGGATGGCCACCTCCTGTGGAAGCTTCTCTTGGCTGCAGGGAGGAACTCACTGGTGGCCACAAAGTGTCACATCTGCTGTTTTTCCTGCGGTCATATCGTGAGAAGTCTTAAGTAATGGTCTTTGGCACCAGCTTACTGCTGGTATTTAATTTGTGCTCTTCAGAAGTGTTCTGTTTTCTTAGGACATATCTTGCTGATTCATCTCATCCACCTCACTTCAAAAGTGAGAAATGTGCTGAAATTTGGAGAAAGAAGCTGGTGGAAAAAAATCAAGATAGAAGCTGATTTAGGCAGTGTTTCTGTCCAACATGATTGGTAGGAGACCCTCAGCACTGTTTGCATAGTAATGCAGATTAGGGTCTGAAACAAGCATGGACCAATTAAGTAGCAGGAACTACAGGTCTTTCTAATGAGGAAAGAAGATACACAAGTCATACAGTGGTTTCATACTGACTTTTATCAACAGGGAGGAGCTAATAACATCCTCAGTGTTGCTGAGAAGTGTCCCTGTCCCTGAAGTGGGTGGAAAATGGGGAAGGTAGTGGAGCAAAAAGGAAGCATTCTATATTTGTCAGCCTTAAACATGGTTAATAAATACATTGAGTTGTTCAAGCAAGCAAGGGTGGGTCCTGCATCCTGAGTTCTTGAAAGGGAGAAAGGTTAAACAGAGTCTTCTCTTGTTCTGCACCTGTATGCACCCACAATCAAGGTGAACTTGTAAAAGCCTACAACAGAAGAAAGTAACTCAGTTGTTCTTGTTTTACTCCCCCCCCTCAGTAAAACATGACCATCTGTGTGTTCAGATAACTTTTTTAAAAGCTGAAATAAACCATACGGACCACAACTTACCCAGCATCAGTTCTTGGTTCTCAATCAATGTGACAGCAGTTAACATGCAGGTGTTTCTCCTGTTCTG